TTTTCTTTTCTTTTTTTTTTTTTGGGGGGGGGGGTGTGTTTTTTTTGTTTTTTTTTTTTATTTATTTATTTTTGGATTTGGGGGGGGGGGGGGGGCAGAGACACAGAGGAGAGTAAGTACATTTTCTTGTGAAACGTCCGTTGGTATTAGAAAGAAGGATGAGAGAAATCACACTGTAAAAAGTTACTTGTTGAATAACTTGTGGTGATTGCACGTTTGGACCGTTAGTACATTATGCCAGTGCGCGCCCTGTACTGAGGTCAAACATGTAGCTTTTAAACTCTTCAGTTCAAATTAAGTCCGATTGATATGTTTGATTTTTTAACATTTGAACATTTTCGAAGTCAATAAAAGTTTCAAGGGGAAAGGCGTAGACACTCCACAAAACAGACGCGCTAGAATTTTGTCATAAATAATTATGTTTCCTATTTTTCCGCAGGATGGATGGGAGGATACCCGATGACAACCTTTGGACGGAGAGATAGACGGGTACTTTTGGATGCATTTTGCGAGTTGCCGAATTCTCAGGCCACGAGGGCAGCTCTTTCCTGGGATATCATCTGCAAGGAAAAGTGTAATAGCTCCCTCATTATGCCTCTGGACTTTTACGGGATGCTCAAGTATGTGGAGACCCAGGACAGAAATGATTTTAAGCCAGACTCGGTTTTTGTAGGAGGCCAACCTATAAGAAAGGTACGCCCTGCACAGCATAAACTCACATTTTCAGAAATTGTGAAAACAACTTTTCATAAAGCAGACCCACGGCATCGTTGTCGTCCTCATAATTTGAAATGGATTAAAAATTATCATCAAAGCAGTGAAATTTTCAGTCTGCAGATTGGACGAATTGGTCAAAATCGTCAATGGCGTTCATTATACAGTCATAAAAACAGTTCCTACTACGAAATAAAAGGTCCTGTCACATTACACTTGTTATGGAAGTTAGTATGGACTAGAATCTAGTCAAGTATTAACTACAACTAACTGAACCTGTCAAAATCAGCGCCGTCTTTTGACCTGGAAATCTATCACCTTCAGGCTGAGCTCCTTGGTTGAACACAATGGCGCGATGCTCTTTATTTCCTTTATAAACTGACCAGCACAGCTCTTTTAATGTAGTCTGGCTTTTAATTTTAGTTTGAGTTTTACGACACTTGCAATACAAATAGGTCAGGTAAGTACCAAAGAATAAAGGTGTTTCAAGAAAGTAACATGCAAAGGAAAGAAAGACGTGAGATAAGGATTATAGAAGCCTGATAGGAAACAGTTGAGCAAACCATGCCAGGGCACCCACCGAAGATTGGCTTGAGACACTTTTGTTGAGGTATTGGCAAAGAAAAGCTGACATATTAAAAGGCACGCCCTTGTATTGAGTACAGCGTTCCAGCACAAAGATGAAGAAACTCTATTTTATTTTTAAAACAATTGAGGAAAGTAAAGTAGGAAACATCATTACAAGTTCCATTGCTATCTCTTCCTTCAATTTTCTCTCGTTACCATGCTATCAAAGCCTTTGACTTGTTTCCCTCCTTGGGGGTTAGAAGTCATCACCGGTTTATAAACCTAGATCTAGAGGACAATTTTTTTTCTTCAACATAATATATTTTCCTTTGTGACCTTTATATGCTCAGAATGTTTTATGATTATATTTATTTTGAGTGTATTCTTATTTTTGTCCTACTTTGGAAAGACAATGATTATGATAGAGCAGGTCGACCTAGATTTTGAAACCTTATCCCCTGTTTAGTTGAAAAAATGGATATGGATTCAGAGGCACGGCCTGCTCATAATGCATAACTAAACCTAATTTCACGAACGTAACATTGTGATTTGAACTTAAACTTGCCGATCTTGAAAATATTTTTGATTTGTCATTCCAGCAACAAGCTGCAGACATGCTCAAAATCTTTAAGAAAATCTATGTTGCCTACGGATCTACGGAGGGTGGAGCGGTTAGTGTCAATGAATTGACAGGTAAAGATTTTTTTTCAAATGTGTCTTATATGTTTTACACCTCATCCTATCTCTTCAGAACCATGATAAACCTCACCATCACCATTACCATTACCATTACATCGACATCGCCATTGCCATTACCATCACCATCACAATCGGCATTACCATCCCGAACAACACCTTGTTTGATTTTCTTGTTTGTGTTCGTGTTATTGTTCGTGTTGTTGTTGTTTTTGTTGTTGTTGTTGCTGTTGTTGTTGTTGTACCTGCTGCTGCTGGTGTTATTGTTGTTGTTACTGCTTGATGTTGTTGTTGTTGTTGTTGTTGTTGTTGTTGCTGTTGTTGCTGCTGTTGTTGTTGTTATTGTTGTTGTTGTTGTTGTTGTTGTTGTTGTTGTTCTTCTTCTTCTTCTTCTTCTTCTTCTTCTTCTTCTTCTTCTTCTTCTTCTTCTTCTTCTTCTTCTTCTTCTTCTTCTTCTTCTTCTTCTTCTTCTTCTTCTTCTTCTTCTTCTTCTTCTTCAACACCATCGCCATTTCCGTTGTGGTCTTCTCCCTCCACTTTTAATCATCATCATCATCATCATCATCATCATCATCATCATCATCATCATCATCATCATCATCATCATCATCATCATCATCATCATCATCAAAACTTTGTGAATGAAGAGCTGAACCTACGTTGCCGAAGATGCAACCATGAAAAGAAGGATGTCGAACAGGTTTGAATGTCCAGGAACAATAGCAACTCGAAGGGAGTTATTTGAACGAGTGGAAGCGGAAGTGCCTCTGAGTAAAATGACAATGGAGCCGAAAAAGAGCCGCGCTCTCGCTCGAAAATTTCTTCGGGGGTCCACCAGGCCAAGTACAGAATCATCTTCATCCCGCTGTCGCGTTTAGGCTTTCTCTCTCATGGGTTTTTCACAATCCACCTTGGGTACTTTGGTAACTGAAAGATTAAATATTTAAAAAACTAAAAAGTGAGCATGCAGCTCTTTACACACACTTTTCCACCTTTTCCAGAGGCTAACATGGAAGATTTTTGCACTGGGAAACCTGTGGATGAGAACAACGTCCGTGTGGTGAACAAAGATCAGCAACACTGCAAGCCAAGGGAAATGGGGACCATCCATGCCAGAGGTAAAACCTGAAAGGAAATTATGTTTTCTGTTTCTGTGCAAAGCTGGCTGCGTCAGTATTTTGTCCCTGGGGCACAGATAGATGATTATTTTCTTAGTAAACATAAATTCTTAAAAGCAGAAAGAAACCTGGCAATTTTATTGTGAAGGGTAAAAGAAATTACAACAAAAATAAATATGGAAATGAACAGATACAAATACAACACTAGTTACACCCTCCACTCCAGTGTTCCAGTGTTCCCAGCAAAAACAGGACTCCCCCACAAAACAACAACAACAACAACAACAACAACAACAACAACAATAACAACAGCAGCAGCAGCAGCAACAAATACCAACAACAACAACAACAAAACCAGCAAGCAAATAGCAAAAATCAAAACGAGCGTTTGGCTCTATTCCTCTCTAAATTAGCTACTATTTAAAGTCAGTGACTACAAAATATACCAAAATTGATTAACCTTTCACACTGAAGTTAAAAAGTCTCTCGGCAATGAATATCCCTGTCTTACACACTTCAAACAATGACCAGAGGGAGCCGGAAGCACTAGGCGAAATATGCGTGACGTCACGGCTTGGCGCGATGCCACGGTGGAAGGATTAAGCTAGGTTTTCGCGGGATTTTGTTGATAAAAGAGTAAAACTACACTAGCCAAGATAAGACTTCTAAGACAACCATTTAAACGTTTTCTGGTAGAACAAAGAATGGTTTGTTTACCAACATGGGTAGGTTTTTTTTTTAAAGAGAAGATTTAAAAAAAAATTAAATTGTCTATTTTTCAACTTGAAATATCCCGAGACTCGTGAGTCGCACATCCACCAGGAAAAAAGTTTTGAAGGTCATCCAAAGGTCTTTAAAGGCATGTATCGGACTTGAATGCTGGTCCCATTAATTAAACAAAAATATGGGCAGTTTGAACCCACTGTCGCGATGAGACATCACGTCGGGAAACAAAACTCAATGAATGGGACTTTCCGAAGCCGAATCACGCTGTAGTGAGCGTGTTCACTGAAGTGCCTACCCCAACGAAATGCTCAGAAAAGCTGAAGACCGGAAGAAGTGGAGGAAGCTGGTGGCCAAATCTTCAAAAGCGCCCCAACGGACATCCAGTCTACGGGATAGGTGAAGGAGAAGGTGAAGGTGACGGGTCATTTCATTCATTTACTTTGATTTACATAGTATCTATTTATTGAACTCTCTATTTATACATCTGTTCAATGTATCTATTTAATCTATCTATTTATGTTTATATCTAGAGTCTACTATGTTCATTCCAGGACCCGGTGTTTTCACTGGCTACTTTAACAAATTGGAAGATACGGACAAAAACACCGCCAAGGCCTTCACGGCAGATGGCTGGTTCAAAATGGAAGACAACGGGTTTTACGACGAGCAGGGAAATCTTTACGTTCTTGGCAGAGAGAAGGACATCATCATGTACGGCTCTTTTGTTGTCTACCCAGGATGGTTAGAAAAGAAGATAATGACTCACCCGGATGTAGCTGATGTCGTGGTGGTGCCTGTAAGTGAAGAACCAGCTGGTTTAGGTTTTTGATTTGATTTGGAAAGCATGTTATGTACGTGTATTATTCGTTGAGTTGTAATATGTGTGTTTGTTTGTGCACACACACACATCATGTATGTATGTGTGTATATGTACCGAGAATCCTATGTACGTATTACGTATGTGAGTATGTATGTACGCACGTCCGTACGTTCATGTGTATGTACATACGTATTATATAATATGTATGAATGTATGTATGTAGGTACACACACACACACACACACACACACACACACACACACACACATACACCCCCCCATATATATATATAAATATATATATATATGCAAATATATTAAAAAATATATATATATACATACGTATGTTTGTACATACGTATGGATGTATAAACATTCGTATGGATGTAAGTTCCAACATAAATATATTTGTTTGTCAGTCTCTACATATCCAGCTACATGCGAGCGTGTATCTGTGTGCACAAGTACTATGGTACTATGAATGTAGATGTGTGTCTGTGAGACATTCTTTTAAAGAGTAGTCTTTTTCTATTTGAAATCTCAGAGAGAGGAGTGAACAATATTGGCATGTACAATTTTTTTTACCTTGCACTGCTGGAAGAGTGGCAAACGCCGATTACAACTAATTAGAGTATGACGCTCGTTTACAAGCAGTTCATTTTGGATGTTCACGATCCACAACTATTACCAGGTATCGGACCCCGTCCTTTTCCACGACATCTGTGCATGCGTGAAACCGGTGAAAGAGAAGACGTTGAACGGGGAGAATCTGCGGGAGTTCTGTCAGAAAATATTCATCACCAGCAGTGAGGCTGCTTCTACACCCGTCCCTAAATATTTCATGGTGAGTGACATGTCTATTGAAAACGAATTATAAGGTATTAGCAAGCTGTGTTAAAGATTTACTTCTTGTAATGAGTGATTTTTAATAAATAATAATAATAATAATAGATAGCATTTGTATAGCGCATATCCCCGCTCAACAGCAGGCTCTATGCGCTTTACACTATATTATTACCCCAGCAGACCATAGAACACTCCGAAACATTCTCAGCTTCCCGGGAAGCATACAGTGCGAGCAGCCGATTAAGCGCTCAAACACTAACAAACTGACAAGATCTTTCGCTGTCTATAGCCGGGTACCCATTCCCACCTGGGTGAAGTGAGGAAAATTCGTGTAAAGTGCCTTTCCCAAGGACACAACGTCGGGCCCTTGACGGGATTCGAACCCACGACCTTACGGTTGCGAGTCCGAGAACCTAACCGCTAGGCCACCGACGCCACTCTCGGCACCTGCAGTCTAGGATACTTGTGAGGTGGTTTTTCGTTTTGGCAGATTTTTGGGCGGGTAAAGGAAAGTACATCAACACAATAACGGCCGTGTAATATAGAGGAAATGGATAAACAGTCGTGCAACCGTGCAACAATTCGTTTTGTTAGCTGAAAAAAAAAGAAACCAAAGTCCTGTTCTACGTTCACGGAACTTAATGCAGCTTTGTCTTCGATGAAAGTTTGAAACTGTTGTTTCTCTTTTCGTTCATACCAGATACTGGAGAGCTTTCCAGAGACGTTGACAGGAAAACCAAACAAGCAAATCCTGGCAAAGATGGCTGAGGAACGATTTGGGCAAACTGCTTCGTAAAAAAGCCAGCTTGACGGGGATGAGACATCATCGGCGGCTGTGTCCATGTGTTTGAGCGCACTGTTCATTTCGAAAGAATTTAAAATCATGAACGTCATTTTTGTTAAACAAAGGGAAAGGCTGAATGTGTGGCGTATTATGTATCTAGATCTAATGCCCTTTTTTCCTATACGTTCATGATTCTGGTGGCATCGGTCTTTGTGTCACTTTTTAGAATCCACACACTCTCCTGACCTTAAAATTTAATCGAAGATAGCGCTCAGTACTCCCAAGAACATGACGGAGCCAGAATTTCATGATGTCGAGCTTAAGCATGTTTAAGTTATAGGTTTTGATCTTTGTGTGTAGTTATCTAATACTCCAGAATTGAGTCATTGTTGTCCAGTTCAACTTGAAAAAACGTGATGTTCTACTGTTCGGTATGGGTTCAAAGCTGAACGGATACCTCCAAAGAAGTTATGGGGTTTTTTTTAAGGGAGGGAAGTTGGGGTAGACTCCAGAGTTTGAGTGGGTAGTGAGCTAAGGCTCACGATAGTATCTAACGTTTGGCAGTGACACGGTGTTTTGGCAGGCAGTTACTGAGATGTGTCCTTGATCAAGACACTACAGCCACAAGCTTAAACAGCTTAGCGACCAGCAACGGTATGTGGGTTGTCTATTTTTGCGCCACTGTGTATTTTACATGCATCTATGTATTAAAGTATTATTGCATTTATGTACGCCATTGTAAAACAAATTCCCAAAGCGAACAATATCGTGGAATTAATTTTATCATTTTTTAAAAATCTTGTAGTCTTGTAGATATAATTATTCCAAAGATGACGTATCAGCAAAACTGTTTTCAACAGTCGTGGTCAAAAGTAACATATAAAACTCTAAGCCATGAGCTCTAGGTTACCGTGTTAAAAGCACGCGGGCAGCTCGTTATGTATAAACCTGCAATGGTTACTTTGATTCATAATTTGAATATTGATACATTATTAAAATTTGATAATTTCACGAAGATGACTTTGATAACGTTTTCTCTGAATGGCAAAGTAAGCCTGAGTACCATGATGTCAAAATGGTACTGAAGCTAGGCAAAGGTAAAGTGCTATTTTATTTCTGGGTTTTTTTTGTTGCTTTGTGAATCTTCTCACCCCTAAGCCTATTGTATTGTTTTAAAATGTTTAGTTATACAAATAATACAGAAAAAAGTTCGGGGATCCGGTTGATTCGACTCTTATCTGTCAGGGTCAACCCAGGCTTTGTGGGACAACAAGTGGAGAAACTTAATGAAACAATGTCCCCATTCGAGATCTGGAATAGGAGACACAATAAACAGCATGTATAGCGCAGGTTTCCTCTCAACGGCAAGCTCGAATCTATATTGTTAACCCAACTGACCCTAGAACACCCAGAAACATTCTCCACTTCCCGTAAAGCACACGGTGCGATCAGCCAATCAAGTGCTCAGTCACTAACAAGCTAACAAAACATCTACCTGTCGGTAGCCGGATACTCATTCTCATCTGGGTGAAGTGAGGAAAATTTGTGTAAAGTGCCTTTTCCAATGACCTAATGCGGGACTCTGACGGGGTTCGAACCAACGACATTTCGGTTACAAGCCCAGCAGCTTAACCTCTAGACCACCAACGCTGTAAACCTCATTATATCCTCTGTGAACAACCTTAGAATGTTTTAACAGATGGAAGATTGTGCAGTTAAAATGCAACATCAATTAAGAGAAGAAAAACCGACGTCTGCGATCTAGCGATTAGGAGTTTCTCCGTAGTTCGCAAAAGACACGAGATCGATTCCGGTGCGGGGATACGTTTATTTTATTTCGAGGGTATCGGTCTTTCTGCTGGGATGTCATTAGGCTGAAACTGAGAAAGATATTATCTTTCTCAGTTTCAGCCTAATAATATATAT